CCCAACCCCCCAAACCCTTAAACCATTTTAAACCTTGCTGGCACCCTGAACCCCCAAAAAAACGCCAAAAGTTTAAACCCTAGACCCGCAGTTAGAGCCCTCGAAACCTGAGCCCTAAACCCTATACCCCCAAATTGTAACCTAACTGAAAGATACTAAAAGCAGCCCAAAACGAATCCATACAGGCTCCATCAGCGCTTGCGAGAAATCCTCGGAGTGGCAGATGGCTGTGGAGACTCATCTCCAGGCACCTGCTGGTGTTGCAATTTGCGTAGACAGTCACAATCGCTATACTATATTTCCATATAACACGACTAATGTCTTCTAGTTATATACTGTAATATACGAAAATTGAAACCGATTATGATATACCATAATAGTTGGACAGCCAGTGGCGGCAACCAGCTTGTGCCCCAGGCACGGAGCGTGCACCTCCAGCCGGATATCATCGCCTGCAACGCCGCGATGTGCCTGGCAAGCCTCAAGAAGTTTTCCTGGTGTTTTACCATAGTTTAATGCACTACAGCGATTGCATAAGTTGTGATGGCACTGCCCTACTGCTCACGACATTTGTGTGCAGAAGATCATGTCCCGAGGCTCTAAGCCTCGGACCTCTAGCCATAAATCCTAAAAGTTCGCACTTACATCCCTAAGCCCTAGCTGGTATATGTATACGTATATATATATATATGTATATACATATATACATATATATATATATACATACATACACACACATATACATATATATATATATATGTATATATATGTACATATATAGCACAGGGTTATATGTGTATCATATACAAAGCCACACACATACACATACATGTGCATACGTACATACACAGACACGCACGCGCACACACAGAGACACATCATATATATATATATATATACTTAAAGCCTAATGTCACGAAGCCCTTGCACAGCGTGGCCGGAAGACTGAGGAGTTCGTGTGCGAAGCGCTGCCTGGGCGGCAGCTGTGCGATTAGGGCCCTGAACCCTACGACTAAGGACTAAACCCTGAACTCCAAAAACAAAGGCCCTCAAAAGCAAAAGCCTTCTATGACTACTATTGTTCGTATCTGTTGTTATGGGTAGCTGCCACTCTTATTGTTAGTATTTATGCTTAAGACATGTTTTTAGTTGTAGCAGTCTTACTATTGTGTCCCTTACTAGTATTATCATTATTGTCTTTATCTATTTTATGATTATTATGGTACTGGAGGGTTCATAGAAGGGTATTACAGGGGCAAAACCAGTGAGGGTTGCATGGGGATTCTTACGTTGTTCAGGATATTTTCACGCACTGTGTAAAGGAACAGCTCTAGATATTGTGGGTTATGGTGTTAGTTAGGGTCGGGGAGCCTCGTAGGAAGGTTCGCGAGTGTCGTCACAGGACGTCGTGTCGTGGTGAAATTGGTAGTTGGGCTATGTTGTCTGAGGGAATCCCGGTGGCGGTTTTCAAAGCTAAGCTTCAAGAACCCTTTGCACCCTTG